CGCCAAGCAGCGAAAAGCCAACAGAGGTAGACCCAAGGTGACTTGTGGAAGGCAACCCCAAGCCCCAAGGGCGGTACTTACAGGGCACTCAGGGAAGGAGACCCTAAGCACATGCAGCCCGAGTACCTGAGAATACTACTCCCAGCTCACACGACCACCGTAAGAGCGGCACTGCAAACAAGTCACAGCACTGAAACAAGACTGGAGCTGGAGCCACACGACCGTGCATTATCCCATCAGCCGAGGAACTGAGGCGGGGATCGCCGGCACGGGGGTCTGGGGCTCCCACTTCCCCCTCCCGGGGAGGGGGGAGCTGCGCAGACATGCGGCGCGGCTCGCGTGACGTCATGCTTGTTAGTTCGTTTTCCTGGGGGAGTTCTGTCCACTCGTTTGTCGATTTTTGTTGTTAACCAGAATAGGGGTTTGTTTTGTGGCGCTTACCTTTCTGGGTGCCTGTCCCGGTCGATGGCAGATATAGAATGCTCCAAATCACATGTGCATTTCTATGGGCCATTACTCCCCGTGCCTCTCTGAGGGGGCCAGGTTCTGGCTCGTGGTCCCCGGTAGGCCTAGAACTCCACCCACATCGACTGATGCAAAATAGTTAGGGTATCCATATCAGCCATGGATAGCTCCGGGGAGCCGTAGGGGCTCCCCCAGAAAAAAGGGGACTTACATGGGAGGCGGTCGGTGCTCACATTTCATCTCAAAGTCGAAACAATTGGCTGCAACTGCCGATCCAAGCAACACAGGCCCGACTAGACCCAGGAACATTCACGAGGTAGCGTGCAGCCAGGAACCTGTTCGACCCCCAAAAACCCCGGCACCCGAATATCAACCCAAGACATTTTACCAAAGACGGCAGCAAGAGCAGCAAACTTATGAACGTCATGGGCACGAGGATAGACCGCAGGCTGGCTGGACTTTATAACCCTGCGGATGACCTGAGAGACCCGTACCCGTGAACAGGGAAAAAGGGAAACCAGATCAACCCAAAGCGCATCCCGGACACAGAAGCCGTGGCGCGCAAATAACGGCGGCAAATAATAACATCAATAGCCCAAGGACCCCTCTGGAAAGCAGCAGTCTGATTCTTCACCAGAAAAGTAGGAGCCGGCTGCAACCCAACAAACCTATCACCACGACCAAAAGAGCAGAAACCCCTGCGCCGGAGAAGAGCATGAAGCTTTGCAACCCGACCCCCATAGGCCAATGCCAACAGGAAAAAAGAGCCTTAGAAAAACAATCCTGAATCGAAGGGGCTATAATAAACCGAGGAGAAGAGAGGTAGGACAGCACTCTGTCCAAAGACCAGGACGGCTCAGGCAGTGCATGAGCAGACCGGAGGTGAAACAACCCACGAGACAGCTTGCGAAACGGCGCAGAAGTGACATCTATACTGAATGAAAGCTGCAGCAGCTCTGCCAGCTCCACACGATACGAGGCGACAATATTGGGCATAAGATGACAGTCCTGGAACAACCACAAGAGAAAGGTCACCACCACCCTAACCAAAAGCGAAGTACAACAACGAAGAGTAAAAATGAAACAGAAGGACCGCCAGGAAACTTCATACTGCCGCCGAGATGAAGCCCGCAGGTGGGACATCATCAAGGAAGCCACCTGATCACTATATAGGTGGTGATAAACTCGGGTCAAAAATAACAAATGCGAAGACTCGAGAAGAAGAGCGAACCAGTCTCGTAACCAACCGAGCCAATCTGTTGAAAGAGGTGAGGCGTGGAAAACCTCCGGGTTCGGACACCGGGCAAGCAGCGCCTGAAACCACGACTGGGCCAGCCAGCACTGGGCCATGAGGACTTCTCGCGCCTGGTAAGTCTCCAGGCCCGATCCTCGATCAGGCCTTCTTTTTGTTACACACCCCCAGGAAGCAGCCTGTAGCAGCTGTCTAACTCCTAGGTACCTATTTACTGCTAGGTAACAGGGGCATCAGGGTGAAAGAAACATTTTGCCCATTTATCTCCACCTCCACCAGGGATCGAACCCGGAACCTGAAGACTACGAATCTGAAGTGCTGTCCACCCAGCTGTCAGGTGCCCTGACAAGTTCAGAATAAACCTCAGATCCGCACAGTGTCGTTTCGGCACTGGAAACATGCGGGAAACTCACCTGAGGGACAGGGTCGTTTCGAACACTCCCAAGCGCACCCACTCCAAGATAACCTGACAAAGCGCAGGGAAGACGCCTGTCCCAAACCCCCTTGAAGGGAAAGGAGTAGCCCAATGCTACCACAGGCCGGATGACACGACCGAAAACCCCCCACAAATTAAGCGCGAGCAAACAGAACGAGCCTCCCCCCCCATTGCCCCGTCAATGGGGCATTAGGCGCAAACAGCCTCAACAGTTACAGTAATATAGTAATAGTAAACAGAGACAGCTTCAAACAGCAAATACAGTAATATGAATTCAGAAAAGAAAGGAGAGAACATAAAACCTCTTTCCCTGGAGCAACAAACCCCTGCCCAGAGAGCACAAGAGCACAATCAGGGGCAAAAGAAGCTTAAGAGCTCCAAGAGGACTCCCCCCTGAGCCCCAAGAACCCTTGACAAAAGCCCCGGGGGCAAAGCCCTCATACACGCCCTCCACTCCTGAAGAAATAGCGAAGTCCAAGGGAAAGGCTTCCAAGAAGGGAGTCTGCTGGGGCATCCCAGAAGCCCCGGCGGAAAAACTGGCTCAACCACCTCCGCACCTGAATTGGAAGGGGCAATCCCCAAAGCCATCCGAGCTTCGTCCCGAGCTAAACCCCACCCTGACTCCAAAACCCTCTAATGTGTGGGAGCCGGAAGCAGGGAGGAAAGGAGCAGAGGGTGCGGATGGAAATAAGGCCAAAGCAGCCAACACCCCCAAGTCTGAGTCCCTAAAACACAAGCGGAGCAGCTTCGAGGCCTCCAACCGGGCAACCAACCAGACCCTTTTGCAAGAATGAGAATCGAGCATGTAATGCAGCCTGATCCCTGAGATCATTAGATAAGGGATAAGTAAATTCTTCAAGATCAAGCAGAAGAGCGATAATTATAAATTATTTATATTGTTATTATAATAATTGTTGTACTTAATAATTATCACTCTTCCTTCTGCTTGGTCTTGAGGAAGCCAGCCACGGGTGAAAGAGGGCTGCGACGATCTCTGTCTGGAACCTGTAGGTGCGGGACTAGGACGTCCACCTCCTGGGGCTCATGCAGCCCAGGCTCTGCTTCAGGAGGCTGGGGGTCATTCTTGCCATTGATGGGGTGGTTCTCTTCTGTCCCCGACCACGGTGGTCTCCAGGTTTGGAGTCCCTGTGCCTTCTTTCACCAACTTTGAGGTCAACTCCAGAGTTCACTCTTCCTGCGACGGCGTTGGAACCAATCGTATTGGCGTTTGCCTTTTCATTGGAGACTTTTGGCACCGTGGAGAGGGGGGTGGGGACTTGCTGCTTAGGTAACAGCTTCTCCTCTGTATCAACCTACCCTGGCTTTGCGCCCTGGAAAGGCCACTCCAGATTGACAACCAGAGCGTAACTCCATACTCTCCTGAGACTGATGGATGCCTACTACTAAACTGAAGCACGAAGTGGGGTACAAGTCCCACAAGACTCTGGGTTGATGGTGTCCCCAACCCAATAGGCAGCATGATGGAGTCAGTGCGAATGATTGTCTCCCTAAGGCAGGGGTGACGAACAACCTTCAACTTCGCACAGGGCGAGAGTAGACTTGGAAGAAGTATCCCATGGTACCACCAAGCCCACACAGGTTTTTCAGGGCCTGCAGGGTAAATCAGCCCTACAGGAAGCCCAGGCACTGGGGCCAGCTAAGCTGGTAGAACCCTGTTAGATAGCAGGCAAACTGACCACCAGTACCACCTGTGAGACCTCAGGGGCAACAAAGGAGAACTACCTACACAATCTAGACTAGTTTAATAAGAGCTAGGCACACCTCCTCCGTCCACAAAAGGCAAAAATGCCAGAAAAGAAAAACCAAAACCCCCGAAGACACACAACATCAGCCACTGCATTGAAGTAAAGGGAGCTGCACCAGCCGCAGTGCCCCCCCCCCCCTTCCCAGCCAATAACACTCCCCTACCCCGGGGCAAGACAGTAAGCCCCATACCCCCGATGTACCCAATGGGCACGTCAGGGGTACTCCAAGGGCGAAGACAACGACAAGCGATGAAGTGCGCAAATAAGAAATGATTCCCGAACGTCCCAGGGAAGATAATCCTGACACGTAAGGGCAGTACTATGAAGCACCTAGGGAAGATCACCCTAGGCGCATGCAGCTTCTGTACACTAAGACACCTGGCCACCACACCACGCACATAGCTGGAACAGCCACACAGGGCAAAAATCCAGAACAAAAACTTAAGGCCAGAGGTGACTGATCTGACCACCAGCACCGGCTTCTTCCCCCCACCAGGGGGGGGGGTAGCACTAATGAGCGTGAGTGCTAGTTGGATGAAGTGTTGCTTGTTTGTTTTCTTTCTGGGGGAGTTCTTTTGCTATGTTCGGATATAGGTCGGAAATTTCACCAAATTGTGGTCTGCTTTGTTTCACATATCTTTCTGAGTCCCTTCCCCAAAAAATGACAAACTATGACATACTTTAAATTTAAGGTGCTCGTAGGCCATTGCTCCCTGTGCCTCTCTGAGGGGGCCAGGTTCTGGCTTGTGGTCCTCAGAAGACAAAAGGACTCCTGTGACTGATGACCCTAAACTAATATTGCACATATCAGTTCAGATAGCTTTAGGGAGCCGACAGGACTCCCCACAGAAAATTGGTTTTGTGATAATTTTTGGTGGTCTGCAAACATCCACAATTTATAACATTGCATGTATGGAAATTTTTGTTCATTGTTACAAACAAATGCTTCACAAACACATTTTCAAAGCGTAATTCATTTGTAGTAGGAGGACTACCTGTATGGGAAATTACCATAAGTCTACATCTTAAACTTTTTACTTAAACATGGCAAAATACTGAGGAGGAAACACTGCATGCATACCTTACTACAGGTGGGCTGCATGTATAGGGGATGGGAGACATTGGTAATGTCTACTTGTGATGCTCCCACTCCCACAGCAGTGTATGAACCCCTCGTGAATGGCTGTGACCACCAAGTTGTGCTAGAAACATAAAATAGTTGTCAAGAAATAATTAAATTAATGAGGCATTTTACAGATATTCTTGCTTAGGTACATCTTCTTTCAGGAAGTGCATAATATACAGTACACTGGTTTAAATAGAAAATAAACAATAAAAAAATAGCGTTAAATGTAATGAAATGCCAATTTCTGGGTGAGCCCCGGTGGCTCCCTGTAGCTAACATATCCAATGCGCGTACTGCCTAATAGATGCCATCAGTCGCGGAGTTCTCTGGCATACCGGGGACCATGAGCAAGAATCTGGCTCCACTCTCAAAGGCGCAAGGAGCAGTGGCAACTATTTTGTATATGGCACCACCAGGGAAAGCACCCAGAAAGTGCAGACCACAGTTGGCTAATTTCTATACCGACAGACTCAAAAACGACCACAGAACTTCCCCAAATTAAATAAACAACTGAAAATGTTTTGATCCAGTTCACACTCATTTACCCCCTTCCTCATTTGAGGAACGAGCTTGATGGGCAGTTTTCAGCTTCCAGGCCACAAGCCGGTCAGTTTGACGAATGATGTGAAGCACCCGACTTCCTGGGAAGGAAGGGCATCAGGGAGCCACCAGGGCTCACCCAGAAATTGGCATTTCATTACATTCAATGTTGATTTTCCGTGGGGAACCCCTAGTGGTTCCCTTTAGCTATCTGCCCATGGAGAAAAGAGGGACATGCCAGGAAGGAGGGAGCACTGCAGATAACAGAACAAGGAAGACACAGCTGGCACAGAAAGCCGACCGAGAGCCACACAGGGATGCTGAAGTCCAGGAACAAGAACCCCAAAATCTGGCTGCCAAGACCATGGTCGACCACCAAGAACCCCTGCACCCAAACACCAAACCAGGACATCTCTCAGCAAAGAGAAGCCTAGAAGGCAGACCACAGGTCAGAAGAACAGAAGAACACAGCAGACAGCCTGAGAAAGACAAGTCTTGGAACAGGGAACCAAAGAGACTGGAGAAACCCCTCAAGGCAATCCACAAACACTAAAGAAAAAGCACGAAGACAATGAGGAAAAGTCACCACAAGACAGAAAACAGGATACAACCTTGGCCAGAACAACAAAACAACAAGAACAGAGGGACCCCTTCGCAATCCAAATAGCCCCACAGAGCCAAAAAGAAGCAGCAGGCCGGAGACAAACAAACTGACTGCTTGGACCAATAGACCAATAGAACTAAACCACTGGCACTGAAGGAGAGCATGAAGCACCCCCACATATTAGCAGGAAGCCAAGTAGACCTAGAAAAGAGCCTAAAAAAAAAGAAAACCAGACTTAAGGGGAGACAGGAAAATAAGCGGAAGAAAGAAAAGGAGAGCACCTGGTCCAGAGACCAGACTGACCCCAGCAGCTCAAGAATAGGCCAGAGGGGAAACATAGCATGAAACAATTTGCAAAATAGAGCCAAGACAGTGTACACAAGCTGCAGAAGCTCCACCAACACCACACAATTAGAGGCAACAGTAACAACAGATGTTGACCAAAAAATAACCAACGAAAAGAAGTGGTGGAACAACTGCCAAGAACCACATACTGATGCCTTGATGATCTCTGCAGGTGGGACACCTAGTAAGCGCCAGAGTGACACAGGCAGAACAATACTCATGTCAGAAAGATCAGTTGCGAAGAATGAAGGAGAAGGATGACCCAGTGGTGCATGACTGACCGACCCTCTGGAAGAGGCAGAGCCACAGAAGGACAGATGGATTCAAGCTCTGCACAAGCAGTGCACAAACCAAGGCCAGGCCAGCCAGCCAGCCAGCCAGGAGGACCTTCCCTAAGAAGGACTCCAACCTCACCAGGACCAAGAGCAACAGCCGGACTAGGGAACATAAGTACAAAAACCTCCAGCTCATCCAGACAAACCAGAAAGTGTTTTCCACAAGAGCTTTGCAGTCGGGGAATGGCACTACATAAAGGGAAGATACCAGGTCAAACCGACATGAAAGGATCCACATCCAGGTGCCCGAATGCCTCGAACAACCAGAGGAAGTGACATCAATGGTCCACCCAGTGGAAATGGAATGGAACCGGAGCAACCACTGGATGAAAGCTGAGGCAACAGTGAACAGTTGAGCGCCGGTGGAAGAAGGCGTCAGGGTACCAAACCCCAAAATGGAAAGCTGCTGATGCAGCAACCGACGAAGGGCAAGTGGAGTCCAGGCCCAGCAGTCACAAGAGCAGTGAAAGGGAGAGCCCCAGAGGAACCAGAAGCCTCCAAAGCCACACCCTACCCAAGGGGCAAACCAGTAGGGCAAAAGGGAGCCACAAAAGCAACTGCCAAGTCTCCCCATGCCAGCTAAACCCCAACAGTTGGCGGTGCAATAGCCGGGACAAGGCTGATTGAGGCAGGGACAGCGACACCGACCGAGAGTCCAAGACAAGGCCCAACCAGGTCTAAATCCGATCCAGAACCAACTGGAACTTTCTTTAAACCACCAGGAATACGAACCTGTTGAGTTGAAAAAAGAGCCATATCAATGGCGAGCAGACACATGGACTGGCTGGGAGCCCAAACCAGCTAGTCGTTGAAGTAAGCCAAAATCCGAACACCCAAAAACATAAATGAATATCTTAATACTGTATATAAATGCCACTGCTCCCTGTGCCTCTGTGAGGGGGGGGGGGAACAGATTCTGGCTCTTGATATCCTGCAGGCCACAGAACTCGGCGACTGATGGCACCTAGTAGTACACCATATTATCAGAGATAGTAGCTTCAGGGAACCACAAGCCACAAACCCCAGAAATTAGCAATCATGAGAACATATAGAACTGCATAAACATTCTTCTATATAACAAACCACAGTTAACTTACTTGATACATCTCTTAGGTTTTGGTATGAATGGATCATTCAGAAACTGACGAAGGATTTCTGTACACTTTTCCGACACAACATCAAATGGTAGTGTCTCCATATACTTGGCTTCGTCTCCTGAGATCCATGCCAGGAGAAGTGTTTCAGTTACCTTCGTAAAAGAGTAAATCTTTTTAAACCAACGCTCACTCACTGGTTCTTTGTGGTCTATTGGGTCCCATAAACATAGTACTTCTGATAGACCAGGATTTAAAAATGGTCTTTCATATTCTAAATATATTTTGTCCACTACACCAAAACATAATCTGTTAATAGAATCTAACTTATAATCTGGTAGTGGAGGATCAAATAGTGTCTTTCCACTTTCCTTTAACACTCCCAATGGAATAGTACATATCACATGATCAGCATAAAATTTCTTGCCATTTTTACAAATCACTTCCACCTTAGGGCGAATTTTCCTGGATGGCGAGGTAACTACAGAAGCATGTCCACTCCTGCATCCAGGAAGGTGAACCTCAGAGTTCACTAAGGATTTGTTTGTAAGATCTTCTCCCAATCCAGAATCTGTGGTGTTAAACCCCTCCAACCCTGCTCTCCATCTGATGGACATTACTGGATGCCCTTTCAAGAGATGCCCATCAGGGATATCTTTAGTAAGTGGACCAAGAATACTGCTGTAACCTCCTGGCAAAATAATATTACCTCCTGGGAGTTCTGTATAACTACCAATTTCCATTAAATCAATTTCATCCATCGAATCGCACCCACTGATACAAGTCTCACGGGTGAGGAGATAGTTAAATATAAGATTTCTAATGTGTCTTTCATGCTCTGGAAACTGTTCCAGATATATGGATATCTCCAGTTTAAGATGAGCCCCCACACTTTCAACACCATCAGGGGGGAGATACTTGCACAAGAAATACTCTTCACACCGCTTGAAGAACCAGAAGTATGCATCGTAAATCTCCTGAAAAAGCATAATAAATAAATGAGGACTCACTCTTATACAATTTTGGTAAACTATCTGGTAAGGTTATAACAAGTTATGGATAAACAAATTTATTAGTGCTTCAATTTGAAATGTTCATTATATTAAAATAAACAAAGACAAAACCAAAATCTGCGGTGTCTCCATATATTGAAGAAAGATGGGAAATCCTGTGTTGAATGTAAAGAAATGCCTTTTTCTGGTGGGTCCCTTGGTAACTTCCCAAGATACCCACCTGGCTATCTGACATATTTAAGTACCGCACCAGCCACCTCTCCACCACTACCTTCGTGCCACGATTCTGCCTCGGTGGATGCTTAGTGGGTTGATCCTCTTACCTTGGCCCCCCTGTTAAAAGGCTTATCTTTCTCAGGTCATTCAGTGTTATTAAGTCTTCCCTTGCACACACAATGTTAGGAAATACTGTATGCTGCTCTCTCAGCTGTGTTTGCAAACATGTCCTGGGCAGATATTTGGAAGTGGACTTTTGGATGTTGAATAGGATTCTGGCAGCCCAGTATACAGTATTGTCAATGTGCCCAGGGCCCGGTACCCTTGTGAGGCTTTAAATTGTGCTCTTCACCCAGGAGTCTCACCTTCATATTAGTTCCTGCTGTGCTTCCCCCTTCCTGGTAAGTGTCCTTTTGCTTTCATTCTTTGTGTAGTTAACTTCAGGGAGCCACAAGTGGATCCCTTCAGGAAACCAGCATTGAATGTAACGAAATGTCACTCTCTGGGCGAGCCCCAGTGGCTTCCTGACACCCTCACGATATGAACCTTTAACACTTTGGCGTACCCAGCGCACCACCCCTCAACTGTGCGATTTGGGTCCCAGCGTTTCATGGGAGCGCGCGTTAGTTCTGAAAAGTGTATACTCTCTTCAACTTTGTCACCTCAATTCTCGTCCTACGAGATTAAATTTGGTATCATTGTGTTCGCAATAGAATTCTCTACAGCACTAAATGCATATAAACTCCAAAAGCCCAGCTAATTACCCGCAGCAAACAGAGAAAGTGCGAACGAGTTACCCAGGAGCGCGCAAAAGCGATAAATTGTGTTCACTCTTTTCACTCTGGTCACCTCAATTTTCATCCTAGGTCTTTCATTTTGGTATCAATGGGTTCGCAATAAAATTCTCTAGAGGAATATTAGCATATAAAATAAAAAACCTGGTCACGCTCCACCCGCTGACGAGTTGAAGACGGGCCACGCCTTAACCGCGTGTAAGCGCCCAGACGCCTTCCAGCTACACTCCCAATTCCTGCCCACAAATGTTTAGTATTTAGTATTTTAGTATATTTAGTATTATAGTTTAGTATTTTTTGTGTAGTAGCTGTACATCACATAAGCATTGTAGATAGCCATTTGCACAAAATAGAAGGTCATTTTCTACATCCATTTGTGAGTTTTCCTTATGAAGTGATAATATTTGATCATTTGGTCAAAGTGATCAACATCTTTCATGTTTGTATTGTAGTCACAGATTGCATTCGGCTTGTTGACAGTTACCAAACAGTCCCCAAAAAATTGGATAAAAACCTGATTTTTGGCGATTATTTTAGTGAACGATGCAGCATTGTGTCATGCCCGTGATTACCGACAGTAAACGAATGACGCAGCATTGCGTCATGCCCAGGCGAAAGTGTTAAGATGTTATGGTGAGTGTGATAATCTCATAACCAGTGATCCAAGGTCAGTCTAGCACCACACATTTTGAACCAAGTTGTATGTACAGTGACACTTCGACTTACGATTGCCCCTACAGTACTTATAAATTTTTTGAGTTACAACGTAAATTTTGTCAGAAAATGCGACTCGACTTACGACCGTGTCATTGGCTAACGATCTTCGTTGATACGTGTTCAGATCAGCCGAATGCATGGATCCTGGTGGCACGGATTGACCTGCCTCAGTTTACCTGAGCCGCCTGCTTAGTGACGATCGGCTTGTAAGAAATTCCATTATTTTGGTGCTTTTTGGTTTTTTGGAACATAAAACTATTTATTATATATCATGCAATGAGTCCCAAGAAAGTCAGTGATAAGGTTCAACATCAGAAAACACATGTGAGGATGACCATAGAGGTAAAACAAGAGATCATTCGTAAACATGAAGATGGTGTGCGATTGTTGAACTAGCTAGGCACTACAACAAATCTAAGTCTATGATATCTACCATACTTGCTAAGAAAAAGGACATTATGAGTGCTAAAGTGGCAAAAGGCGTAACAATAATCAAGAAACATAGAACACAAACAATTGAGGATGCAGTTATTATTAATTTGGATACACAGCAAGGAGTTAGCAGGTGATAGCATTTCAGAGGCCATCATTTGTGAAAAAGCAAATTCAAAACTGAAAATGGATGGATGGTGGAGGAGGATTGGATGGATGGTGGAGGAGGACTGGATGGATGGTGGAGGAGGACTGGATGGATGGTGGAGGAGGACTGGATGGATGGTGGAGGAGGATTGGATGGATGGTGGAGGAGGACTGGATGGATGGTGGAGGAGGATTGGATGGATGGTGGAGGAGGACTGGATGGATGGTGGAGGAGGATTGGATGGATGGTGGAGGAGGACTGGATGGATGGTGGAGGAGGATTGGATGGATGGTGGAGGAGGACTGGATGGATGATGGAGGAGGATTTGATGGATGGTGGAGGAGGACTGGATGGATGGTGGAGGAAGATTGGATGGATGGTGGAGGAGGACTGGATGGATGGTGGAGGAGGATTGGATGGATGGTGGAGGAGGACTGGATGGATGGTGGAGGAGGATTGGATGGATGGTGGAGGAGGACTGGATGGATGGATGGTGGAGGAGGATTGGATGGATGGTGGAGGAGGACTGGATGGATGGTGGAGGAGGATTGGATGGATGGTGGAGGAGGACTGGATGGATGGTGGAGGAGGATTGGATGGATGGTGGAGGAGGACTGGATGGATGGTGGAGGAGGAGTGGATGGATGGTGGAGGAGGACTGGATGGATGGTGGAGGAGGACTGGATGGAAGGTGGAGGAGGATTGGATGGATGGTGGAGGAGGATTGGATGGATGGTGGAGGAGGATCGGATGGAAGGTGGAGGAGGATTGGATGGAAGGTGGAGGAGGACTGGATGGAAGGTGGAGGATTGGATGGATGGTGGAGAAGGATTGGATGGATGGTGGAGGAGGACTGGATGGAAGGTGGAGGATTGGATGAATGGTGGAGGAGGACTGGATGGATGGTGAAGGAGGATTGGATGGAAGGTGGAGGAGGACTGGATGGATGGTGGGGGGACTAGATGGATGGATAAGGGGGTGGGTAGATGGATAGGGGGGATGGATGGATGGTGGAGGGGGAATGGATGGATGGATGTTGGAGGGGGGACTGGATGAATGGATGGTGGAGGGGGGCTGGATGGATGGTGGTGGGGGGACTGGATGAATGGATGGTGGAGGGGGGCAGGATGGATGGTGGTGGGGGGACTGGATGGATGGAGACTGGATGGATGGATGGATGGAGACTGGATGGATGGATGGTGGAGGGGGACTGGATGGATGGATGGTGGAGGGGGACTGGATGGATGGATGGTGGAGGGGGACTGGATGGATGGATGGTGGTGGGGGAACAGGATGGATGGTAGTGGAGGAACTGGCTGGATGGATGGTGGTGGTTATCTTGAGATGATGTGGGGGGGGGCCTCAATGGATGGTGGGGTAAACCTCCATACCCCACACCGCACCCTCCCCACTACCCCCACAGTGCCACTGGACCATCCCCACTACCTTCATCCCCCATACCGCCCCCTCCCCCACTACCCCCATCCCACCACCGGACCCCTCCCCGCTACCTTCATCCCCAACACTGGACACCCCCTCCCACCTCCAGTTGAGGGGGATTTCGCCTATCTTTCTGGGTGCCTTCCCCGGTCGATGGCAAACTATGACATAATTTAAATGTAAAGGGCTCATAGGCCATTGATCCTTGCACCTCTATAAGGGAGCCGGGTTCTGGCGCGTGGTCCAGAGTAGGCAAAGGACTCCTGTGACTGATGACCACAAACTAATAAAGCATAGTATCAGTTCGGATAGCTTCAGGAAGCCGACGGTGCTCCCCACAGAAAACCATTCACAAACATTGAAATAATTATCTAAAATTACAGTGTGTCCTCACTTGAACGAACTATATGGGACAAAGCCGATTCGTTTCAGTGTGGAATTCGTTCCATCCGTCCAACCCCAACAACCTTCTTCAATTTTTTTTTGTTTTATTATTATTACACGCTGCTTCATTATAATATCTTTCATGCCCTTTAGGTGTCGATAATAATCTGCCAGCTCTTCATCATCAGTCACTTCTCTGACTCCATTCCCACCACTAACACCATCCCCCCACCACTGACACCACCCCCACCACTGACACCACCCCCCCACCACTGACACAATCCCCCCACCACTGACACAATCCCCCCACCATTGACACGATCCCCCCACCACTGACACAATCCCCCCACCACTGACACCATTCCCCCACCACTGACACCATCCCCCCACCACTGACACCACCCTCCACCACTGACACCCCCCCCCCACCACTGACACCATCCCCCCACCACTGATGCCATCCCCCCCACCACTGACACCATCCCCCCCACCACTGACACCACCCTCCACCACTGACACCATCCCCCCCCCACCACTGACATCATCCCCCGACCACTGACACCATCCCCCCCACTGAGACCATCCATGGGATGTAATGAGACAGCAGCGGGGGGAAGGGCCAGACTTGGAGGCGTCTCATTCAACACGCCCGACGAAAAAAGAAAATAGAGGCTAGCTGACTTCCTAACTCCCCTAATACATCCCCCTCACCACTGACACCAATTTATTATGCAGTCTTCGATTACCCCCATCCCCCATAATGTGTGATTATGCAGTCTTCCTTTTAACTAAGGAATATGATAGAGCGATGTGTTACAAGCCAATGAAATGGTAAAAATTCTCTCTCCTAATTTTGTGAAAAGCATCAAGTGAGTACAGTATCCAGGCAACGACATGGGTGCAGAGTCAGCAGAGAGGCACCAGACTGGGTGGACACATCTCCATTCACACCTCATTCCCTGTGATGCGTTCCACCACCCATCCAATACACCCCCTCATAACTGACACCACCATTTAGTATTATGAATTCTTCATTTTGACTATGGAATATAATAGAGTGTTACAAACAACTGAAATGGTAACATTTTCTCAGCTAATTTGGTGAAAAGCAGACAGTGTGTGAAGTATCAAAGTGGAAGCATGGAGGCACCAGCAACGTGTTGCCAACTAGCTGATAACTGATAACCAGAGCTCACCCACTGACCCCACCTGCCTCCCTTGACAACACCTCCCCCCCCCCCTGACAACATCTGACACCACCTGACTCCCTTGACACCACCTGCCTCCCCTGACAACACCTGCCTCCCCTGACAACACCTACCTACCCTGACACCACCTGCCTCGCCTGACAACATCTGACACCACCTGACTCCCTTGACACCACCTGCCTCCCCTGACAACACCTGCCTCCCCTGACAACACCTACCTACCCTGACACCACCTGCCTCTCCTGACACCACCTGTCACCACCTGCCTGCCTCGACACCACCTGTCACCACCTGCCTGCCTCGACACCACCTGTCACCACCTGCCTGCCTCGACACCACCTGCCTCCCCTGACAACATCTGACACCACCTGCCTCCCCTGACAACATCTGACACCACCTGCCTCCCCTGACACCACCTGCCTCCCCTGACAACATCTGACACCACCTGCCTCCCCTGACAACATCTGACACCACCTGCCTCCCCTGACAACTTCCACCATTGACACCACCAGGTCTTCTCTGACAACCCCCAATGAGAATTACTTCCACCACCTGCCTCCTAACACTAAACCCCCAACTACTGTCACCACTTGCCCCCACACTCCAACCCTCACCAATGATGCAACCTGCCTCCCCTGACACCATTTTATCATCATTGAACCTTTCTTACTGGAAACAATGGGTAAGCAAAATATAATTCTGTACAACTGTTTACACTTTGGTGAATCATAGTTGATGACAGTGGCTGTCATCAACTATGACAGCTCGATCTCAATGATCGCTTGGAAGAACAATCCTCACTTAATCGAACATTTGTATGTTCCACTGAACATTTAGTACTGAATTCAATTTGTTCCGATCATCCGGAAATTCGATAGAGCGGGGTTCGTTAGAGTGAGGATGCACACATTCGATGCAACTCTTGTGGCCACGGAGCTGCTGAGGCTACTAATCTAAGGCAAGTACTCATTCAGCGCCCATAATCTGCTCAACTTCCCTGCTTTAGCATGGCCATAGTATGTCACATACGATGTTTTCTTTTTGGTTTGCCATGATCCAGGAACACATTTTAACAATATTAGACAAAAAAATTGGGGGGGGGGAGGGGAATTTATTTTACGTGCACAGGGGACTTGTCACATTCAAGAACTTCAAGAACAAGAGGTCATAGATTTAAATTAACTAAACAAAGATGCTGAAGAAATGTAAGAAAATTCACTTTCGCAAACAGAGTGGTAGACGGTTGGAACAAGTTAGGTGAGAAGGTGGTGGAGGCCAAGACCGTCAGTAGTTTCAAAGCGTTATATGATAAAGAGTGCTGGGAAGACGGGAAACCATGAGCGTAACTCTCATCCTGTAACTACACTTAGGTAATTACATTAAACTAACATGCAGTGCAGTGGTTAAACACTGGAATACATTTTGAAAAATTTGAGGCAAAATTTTAATGTTAATAAAATGGTCTAACTCTGGGACCTTGAACTCTCATTAATTTCACAGGTAAGAGAAATGTTGTAATTACTGTGACAAGAATTTAGTTAAAGAACAGCAGAAACAGAAAAGATATTGGTGCAGCTCAAATTCCAGAAAGGAATATCTAGCTTAAGATAGCTAAAGTCTTAATATAACTTAGAATTTATAAGCAATTACTGTATGCATACTTTACTATACCTGTACTATATTACAAACCAGAAAAAATGACTTAACATGCAGATATTACAGTACCTCCAATATCTGGAATGGTACTCTCTTTCCATCTGGAAGTGTAGCAACAACATTGTGTGGTTTATTCTCTTGGATAATGTTTACAAGTCCATGCGAGGAGGCCAGCTCATAGATTGGATTGCCTAATATACCATGTATCCAGTTGGCTCCTAGTTCCATTCTCCGGCCATCTGCAAAATGCAAAACACAGCATAAAAATGCACCAGTTTTATTCCACATATGTAATGAAAGGTTTTTTATATTTGATTATAAGGAGACAGTGGCATGCAGAGCACTTTGGATATTCAAATACAAATGCATGTAATAGCTAAAACCCAGCATTGTATGTAAAGAAATGCTTCTTTCTGGCAGAACCCTGATGGTTTCCAGTAGCTATCTTACTGAGATTGATCCAATCTACCAGGCACATCAGTTGAATGAGTTTATTTGGCACACCGGGGACCAGAGCCAAAACCTGGACCCCTCTCACGAGGCACAGGGAGCAAATCACATTCTGCCATTTCATCAGGAAAGCATCCAGAAAGTCAGTAAAACTTTACAGACAACTGCTGGGTTCACAAGATTCACAAGCCACTAAGTTGCCAAATAACACTTCAAACAATACAAAATTATTATTTTTACAGACAATTACAGTAATATAGATTATTATTATTAAAATAGACAAAAGAAAAGAGAAAAACCAGCATTGAATGTAATGAAACGCCATTTTCTGGGTGAGTCCCGGAGGCTTGCCGGAGTAATCCAGGCTGAATGGATATGTATAACTTTCCGGCATCAATGTGCACGGAGTTCTTGTCTACCAGGGACCATGAGCCAGAACCTGGCCTCCTCGGAGAGGCACAAGGAGCAATTGCCTATAGAAATCCCCAAGTGGTTGGGAGCATTCTATGTCTGCCATCGACCAGGTCTGGCACCCAGAAAGGTAGGCACCCACAAAACAAACCCCCTATTCTGGTGAAACTATTGCTACCAAAAGCCAAATGAGTGGACAGAACTCCCCAAACGAAAATTAGCAAACGAGCATGATGTCATCACAGTGTCGTGCCGCTGTCTGCGCAATTTCCCCTCCCCAGGAGGCGGAAGGGAAAGCTCCAGACCCACACGCCAGCGATCCAGCCACCAGTTCTTAGGCTGGATGTCAAAACATGCGAAAAACAACGCCGACCGGAGGGAGGAAGGGAGGGATGCTGGGGAGCCTCCGGGACTCACCTAGAAAATGCCATTTCATTACAGTCAATGCTGGGTTTCTGGAGGGAGCCCCGTTGGCTCCCCAGAGCTAACTACCCAAAGACAAGGAAAAAACAGGGGCTTACCCAGGGGGTGGTCAGCCCTCATTCCTCGACGCAAAGGCAAAACAACTGGCTGCAACTGCCGACCCAATACAACGCAGGCCCTACCAAGTCCAAGGTCATTGACATGGTAGCGAGCGGCCAGGACCCTGTACAACCTCCAAAAACCCCGGGCCCAAATGTCAACCCAAGACATGTTGCCAAAGACAGCAGCCAAAGCAGCAAACTTACAAACGTCGTGGGCACGGGGATAGACTGCAGGCTGGCTAAACGTAATAACCCTGCGGACGACCTGATAGACCCAATCCCGGGAACAGGGAAGGAGGGAAACCATTTCAACCTAAAGTGCATCTCCAGCCACGGAAGCCGTAGCGCGCAAATAACGGCAGAGAGCCGCAACCAGAGACAACACATGATGCACCCCCGGCCTGACCAACCAAGCATCAACAACCCAAGGACCCCTCCAGAAAGCAGCAGTCTCATTCTTTGCCAGAAAAGGAGACGGCTGCAACCGAACAAACCTACCACCAAGACCAAAGGAGCAGAAACCCCTGCACCAGAGGAGAGCAAGAAGCTCCCCAATCCAACTCCCAGAGGCCAATGCCAACAGGTTAAAAGGGCCTTAGAAAAAAATCCTGAACTGAAGGGGCCACAACAAACCGAGGAGAAGAGAAAAAAAGAGGGCACCTGGTCCAAAGACCAGGACGGCTCAGTAGGCACATGAGTAGGTCGGAGGTGAAACAATGCACGAGACACCTTGCGGAACGGGGCAAAAGTAAAATCAATACCAAACGCAAGCTGGAGCGGCTCCGCCAGCGCCGCACAATACGAGGTGACAGTATTCGGCATAAGATGACAGTCCTGGAACAGCCACAAAAGGAAGGACAAAACAACCCTATCAGTGACCGAAGTACATTTATGCAGTGATACGAAAAACCGGAAGGACCGCCAGGAAACTTCATACTGCCGCATAGACGAAGCATGCAGGTGGGAGACCAACAACAAAGCCACCTGCGCCCCATACAAATGATGATAGACTCGAGTCAGAAACTCCAGACGCAAAGACTTGAGGAGAAGAACGAAACAATCTCGTACCGGGCTGGACCGATTTGCTGAAAGAGGCAGAGCCGCGGGAAAACCCTCGAGTTCAGACACCAAGCAAGCAGCACCTGAAACCAAGGCTGGGCCGGCCACCAAGGAGCAAAAAGGACAACTCTTCCCTGGTACGTCTCCAAGCTAGCTAGGACCTGGAGCAACAGCTGAACCGGAGAAAAGAGGTACAGGTACCCCTCACCTCGCCCAGTCCTGCCTGAAGGAGTCGACCCCAATGGCCTCACAGTTAGGGGAAGGGCAACACGTATACCGGGAGATGCCTCGACCACACTGACGCGAAGAGATCCACTTACAGAGGCCCGAACGTCTGGCAGAGCCAACTGAACGAGTTGACATTGACCATCCGTTCTGTAGACGGGAATGAACCGGGACAGGACGTCCGCCAGGACATTGACACCCCCTGAACGTGAACTGCCAGGAGAGCCAAACCCCGAGAACTCGGCAGATGGGTCACCCAAAGAGACCAGCTCCAAAGATCCAAGGACCGCATGGAATCCCCTCGATTCAGGCAATGAACCACCGAGTAACAGTTCGAATGGAGCCAGATCGTCGATACGTGAGCAACCCGTACCCTATGGAGTGACATCCACACAGCCACGAACTCCCGCACCGTGCTGTGAGCCCGACGGAAGGACGGACCCCACCGTCCCTGGCCAGTCTGGTGAGCACTCTTCACAAAGTCCCAGCCAAGAGACAACGCATCCGTGAACACATCGAGTTAGGGTTAAGGTAGGCGCCAATGCACGGAACCACAAAAAACCCAAAGAGGAAGCTGGTGATGCAGCAACCGATGCAAAGCCCCTGGAGGCCAAAGCCCCCTGGAGGTTGTGAGAGAGGCGGAAGGGACGTCCCCGAAGGAACGAAGGCGGGAATGCAGCCGAAGCAAAGCCACCATAGGAAGAGACAAGGAAGCGGTCCAAGTGTCCCACATAAGACTCAGCCAAGACCGAACCTGAGAGGGAACCAGATGTAACTTCTGCCAGTTCACCAAGAACCCAAACCCGGCAAGCTGGGAAAGAACCAAATCCCTGGCAAACAGACACGCAGACTGGCTCGGAGCCCAAACCAGTCAGTCGTCAAGGTAAGCCTGAACCCGAACACCTAACAGACGCAGGTGGGTCACCATGCCCCGAGTAAGGCATGTGAAAATGTGAGGCGCCATATTCAAGCCGAATGGAAGGCAACAAAAGAGGTAACCTTGATGCCCCACAACAAAACCAAGCCAATCCCTGAACCTCGGATGAACCGGGAAGTGCCAATACACGTCCTTGTGGTCCAGGGACACCATCCGAGTGCCCAGCTACAACAGAAGACAGACCTGGGACAGAGTAGTCATCCGAAAGGAGGGGCAATCAACCCATGGGTTCAGACGGGACAAGTCCAGAATGAACCAGAGGTCCGCACAGTCCCGTTTCAAGACCAGAAACAGGCGGGAACCCACCTGAACCCATTGTCCACCTGAGGGACGAGGTCGTTTCGACCATGTCCAAGCAATCCCACTTCGAGATGACTCAACAGAGCACAGGAGATGAGACCTGCCCCGCCTGCTCCGAACCCCTCCTAAGGAGGAGGAGCAACCTAACGCCACCACAGACTGCACAAAATGACCCGAAAGGCCCACAAATCATGGGACCAGGAGTGAGCGAACAGAGTGAGCCTCCCCCCCATCGCCCTGTTAACACTTTCGCGCTCTCGGCGAAGGTCACTCAGCCAACCGTATGTGCGCGCGGCGTTTTTATCGCTTAAGCGTAAAAACAAAAGTGTGTATACTCTTTTTACTTTTCTGACCTTAGTTTTCATGCTACGTATTTCATTTTGGTACCAACGTGTTCGCAATAAAAGTCTCTAGAAGAACATCAGTAAAAAAAGTCACAAAAGCTATAGAGATACCAGCATGAAATAAATAACTACGAAGATGAGTCGCCGTGAGTGCTCAACAGCAACAAAATGTTTTTACTCTTGGGATTATTATCACCTCTACAATTGTCCTACAGCCTTAATTTTGGTATCAATGGACTCCCAATAAAATTCCCAACACGATGATATGAATATAATCGTAGAATAATGGTCCCGGCCCACCCGCAAGAGTGTGGGAAGTGGGCGCACTGTTACCCGGTAACGGTGACCGGACGACACACGCGCGAAACGTTGCTTTGAAAGTTTATACTTATTTCACTGTTCTGATATTATTATTGTATGTATGTCATTCATTTTTGTGGCAATGTTTTCACAATAGAATGTTCTATGAGCTAAATTATACTACACAAACTTGGACCAAATAGGTGTACTTACCAAGGGAAGGCTGGTTGTGGAACAGTAAGTTGAGCATTTGTTCTTCTCTCCACCTTCTTCAGGTTCTTCATTCCTGAAGTTGCTCAACAGATGGTTTGTAGGTGGAGCGAAGCTGTTGCGGGTGGTTACTTCTTCACCACCCAATACACCTGTTTCCGGTGGTAATTGGTGTAGCAGGGAACAACACAGTGCAACACCACAGGTCTTGCATCCATAGTTCGTGTCCTTCCTTTTACCGGACCGTGCGCATGCATGACACTTGAGACGTTTGGGCAGTCTGTAAATTTCATGTTTCAGTTTGTAGTTCATACGATTTTCTGAATCAACAATAGGGCGGCCAGGTCCTCTCGCTGAAGGTGTAACAGGAGTTGCAGGAGAGTCAGATTCATCTGACAAAACAGTTTCGTCAACTGGCAGTGTGGCAGACATGTCGGGTTCAGATTCGTTGTCTGCTTCATCTTGAGGTGGTGTAGTGA